CATTAAAAAAAATAATAATCATAAATAAAGTTAATTAAAATAAATCCTTTAAAAGGTATGAGTGCATTTTTTCACCCAAAAAATTAGAAATTCATGAGACTTTTCTTGTTTTTAAGAGATTTTTGCTATAAGGCATGTACCCTCACTGGAGACACAAAGACAGAGAGAGAGAAAATGACAAACCACCCCCCAGCGGAGATGGCCACATCACAATCCCTTCTCTTCCATTCTCCTCTCAGGATTTTGGCCACGCACACACACACACTTGGCATGAGTGTCATGCTCCTGGGTCCAGGACTCGAACCGCAGTTGATGGGGGAGTCCACTACACCACCTGCTGGCCCTATACATAACTTTAAACAAAACGCATATTCCATGAACTTTTTGAAGACCCCCCCCCCCGATATGCACACATACCAATACAAATATATATGTGTGTATGTGTAATATAATTCTGTACTTATTCTTTTAGCTAGATTTTTGTTTATTTTGTTTTTATACATTAGAAAGAAACTAAACCCTTTTCTCCCCGGTTTTGAAGTGCTATTTTTCCTACCACTGTCTATAAATTCACTCTCGTTCCACCTCCTCCAACCAGCTGAATGTGAATCACGAAACCAGATGAGGGCACTGTGAGGTTGAAGGACCATTGAGAAAGATCTGGAAAGCGCGGTGGATATGAATTCTTTCATCATTTAAAGGATGCCAGTGGGGAACAACCCAGCCGCTGGGTGACAGGCCTGTTTCCATCAGAGTCTCTGAAATTGAGAAGTGGGTGACTCCGTGTCATTTCTTTCGGAAATTAGCGTTTAGGACCTGGGTCAGAGAGTTTCCCCTTCCACACAGCAGTACAGAGGGCATGAGCTACTTTTCATTCCAAATCCACGGAATACCTGTAGCAAGATGAAAAATAAGAAAGTGAATTGGAAGTAGACTCAGATATTGTTTTTCCCTTGTTTACTTTTTATCTTAAATGCAATATTGTTCTAGGAATTTTTTTTAATAATAGGAAATACTTAGAAGAAAGAAAAAAGGCTCATGTCTCTTTGCCTACATACCTCTATAGAAAGTCAAAGAAGACAGTTACAAATGAGTAAGGTTTCAAAGCCGCATTGTTAGAAAGATACCAAATTAGGGACCAGCAGTTAGCGTAGTGGCTATGTCGCTGGACTCCCACGTAGTCAACTGCAGTTCGCGTTCCAGACCCGGGGGCTTAAAACTCACGCCGGGCGCGTGTGCGTGTGTGCCCAAGATCCCAAGAGGAGAACAGAGGAGAAGGGATTGCGGCGTGGCCTTCCCCTCGGGGGCGGGCGGTGATTTCTCACTTTCTGTCTCTCTGTCTCTCTCTGTCTGTCTGGCGAGCGCACGCGCCCTATAGCAAAAACCTCTCAAAAGAAAAAAAAAAAAAAGATACCAAATTAAATGAAAATATCCATGGGACCAGCAGTTAGTGTAATGCCTATGTCACTGGACTCCCGTGTAGTCAACTGCGGTTCGAATCCCAAACCCAGTGGCTTAACCGCACGCCGGGCACATGTGCATGCGTGCCCAAAATCCTGAGAGGAGAATGGAGGAGAAGGGATTGCGGCGTGGCCATCCCCCTGGGGGTGATTTCTCGCTTTCTGTCTCTCTGTCCCTCTCTGTCTCTTTTGCAAGCACACGTGTCCTATATCAAAAATCTCTCTAAAAAAAAAAGAAAAGAAAATACTCAAAGTTAGCCACTGTAATTACTTTCTAGTAATTTGCTGGAAGGAGGTGCAGAAGATGTGTACATGCACACTCGCACACACACACACACACACACACACACAGAACTATATCCACAGCCATGTACCATGCGCAATGATCCCTCAATTGCTAATGGACTACATACATGATGCCGGTACCATAGGATCATATGCACCACCCCATGGAGCCTAGGGTGTAGCAGGCTGAGCCATGGAGGTGTGTGTAAGTACACACGATGATGTGCGTGTGATGAGCAAACCCCCTAACAGCACATTCCCACCACGGGTGTGGGACCATGTATGTGTGACACCTTCACAGTGCTCTTCTTTTTTTTTTTTTTTTTTAATTTATTATTTTTTTGGAGATGTTTTTGCTATAGGGCGCGTGCGCTCACCAGACAGACAGAGAGAGACAGAGAGACAGAAAGCGAGAAATCACCCCCCGGGGGGATGACCACACCACAATCCCTTCTGCTCCATTCTCCTCTCAGGATCTTGGGCATGCACACACACATGCCCGGCGTGAGTTTAAGCCACCGGGTCCGGGACTCGAACCGCAGTTGACTACATGGGAATCCAGTGACATAGGCATTACGCCAACTGCTGGTCCCTGGAGGCTTTTCATGTTTATTCACCATTCATATTTCTTTTTCTATAAAATCTATCCTTTACCCATTCTTCTACTGCACCTTAGTTGCATGAACTTTTTGGAAATTAAAGGAAATTGCCCTTTGTTATTCCTGCTTTTTTCCTGCTGTATATTGTATTTACTGGTTTTTTTCTTCTTCCTAACTTATTTTCACACAGAAGATTTTCATTTTATCCTTTTGGGAGTCCAAGTTTTGTGTCCTACTTAGAGAAACCCTCATTAGTCTAAGAGCATAAGGAAATTCAGTTAGGATTTCTTCTAGACTTGTTTTCGTTTTGGTATATCTAAACGTGCGACCATTAAGAATGCATTTTGTGGTAGAAAATGAGGTTGATTGCCAGCCTTTTTTTTTTTTAATCTATTGGCCAGTTGTGTAACTATTCCTTTTTTCATCCCGAAGTTGGAATGTCAGCTTTCTCATGAACTAAGTTCTCATATATATTTAGGTTTATTTCTGGATTTTTTTTTTTTTTGGAGAGATTTTCACTGTAGAGCGCGTGCGCTCGCCAGACAGACAGAGAGAGACATAGAGACAGAAAGCGAGAAATCACCCCCCAGGGGAGATGGCCACGCCGCAATCCCTTCTCCTCCATTCTCCTCTCGGGATCTTGGGCACGCACGCACACGCGCCCGGCGTGAGTTTTAAGCCACCGGGTCCGGGACACGAACCGCGGTCGACTACGTGGGAGTCCAGCGACATAGCCATTACGCTAACTGCTGGTTCCCATGGATATTTTAATATGTGTTATTAACCTATTTCTTTTCCTTTACTAAATGGTTTTAATTATTATAGTTTCGTCATATGTTTTAATATTGGGTAATAATGTCCACATTCTCTCTAATTATCTTCTTTTTTTTTCTTTTTTTTTTTTGGAGGGGTTTTTGCTATAGGGCGTGTGTGCTCACCAGGCAGAGAGAGACAGAGAGACAGAAAGTGAGAAATCACCCCCCAAGGGGGGATGGCCACACCGCAATCTCTTCTCCTCCATTCTCCTCTCAGGATCTTGGGCACGCACACACACACGCCTGGCGTGAGTTTAAGCCACCGGGTCCGGGACTCGAACCGCAGTCGTCTGCATGGGAATCCAGTGACATAGGCATTACGCCAACTGCTGGTCCCGAGAAGTCTAAATATTTTTGAACTGAATATTTCCCAGCTACAATAAAATAGTCGGAGTGAGAAGGAAGGGCTAAAGATCATTTTTCTTTCTTTTCTTTTTTTTTAAATTTGACTGAGCGGCGTTAAGATGAGAAATGGAGTGATGTGAAGGGTCATTTACATCTTCGCCATTCTAAGTGAAACAAAATCATTTCATTTTGTGGAATAATAAAACCTGAATAGATAATCCTATTTTCTCCAAGTAACTAGGCACATTTAAATGAAATTTTTCTCTTGGAGGGGAAAAAAAAATAGCACCGCAGCGTATTAAAATGCAATTCCTAAAAGCAATGTAAACCGTTTTTAAGTTCATATGTAAATGGGGATGGAAGTACAAAAGAAATTACCTATCACGGATCAAGCTGTTACATGTTTAGCTTGGGCCATTTGTGCTTGGGTGTGGGACCCCTGCGTCTTCGTTCTTGGGGTTCCGTGCTAGCTGCACTCGCCTGTAATGCATTTAACACAAACTCCCTGGGGGTCTTTCCCAGCGCGGCCAAAGCTGCATCACAACTCTGGTGCCTAAAATGACCACAAACATTGGGTTTTGGAAATCTGGAACTTAAACATCCCTTCCTAGCTAGGGTTGCCAGATAAAAGACTAGAGGCCCAGTTCATTTTGATCTTTATCTTTGCCCTCTTAAATTTAAATTTCAGGTAATCATTTTTTAAAGGATGAATTTATTTAATTTTGATTTCTTTATTTCTCTATTTTTATTTGACCAGAGATGGGCAGAGCAAGAGAGCAAGAGAGAGAGAGAGAGGGAGTAAGCCACGAGAGCCGGGGCTCGAACCGAGGTCGGCCATGTGGGAGTCCAGCATCCTTAACCACCATGCCACCTGCTGGCCCCGATTTTTTTTAGTATGTGTAGGTCCCAAAATGCACTCCCTCAATTTAGCACAAGTATGTCACAAATACCATTTGGGATATTAGGTCGTTAGAAAAGTCATGGCGTGTTTTTCTTTTTTTTTTTTTTTTGAGGTTTTGCCTTAGGGGGTTTGTGCTCACCAGAGGGAGAGACAGAGATAATGAGAGGGAAAGTGAGAAATCACCCCCCTGGGGGATGGCCATGCTGCCATCCTTTTTCCTCTATTTTCCTCCCGGAATCTTGGGCATACGCACACACACTCACACACACATGCCCGGCATGAGTTTCAATCCACCAGGTCCCGTGCTCGAACCATGGTTGACCATGTGGGAGTCCAACGACTTAACCACCCTACACCATCTGCTGGTAAAAAATGGGTCATGACTTTGCTGACAACCCACTACTTATATTTTTAAAATACAGGGGCCACTCTCTGATGAGCGCACACACACGCTGGCAAAATTTTTGAAAAATATGTTATGTCAAATTTTACTGGGTGTTCTCTGCAGGCTACTTCCAGATCATAGATCATACGTCAAATTCCTCCAGTGACAATGTATTTATTCTTAGAGAAACTAAGCCTAAAGAAATGGAGAGAAAATAGATTATTTTATTGCTTACCTGCCCCAGAGGACAAAGTAGCAAACTTAGAGATCATTAGATTTTGGGGGAAATCCAGACAATCTAGCTGGACTTCCAATGCATCAGCATCACCCAGCACTGAGCTTAGAGCTTCTGGTGGGGATCAAGAGTTGGTGGGGCCGGAAGATGGTGTGGTAGTTAAGGGCGCTGGACTCCCACATGGCTGACCATGGTTCGAGTCCTGGACCCGGCAGCTTGCTTTCCCTCTCTCTCTTTCACTTTGTCCCTCTCTGGACAAATTAAAATAAATAAATAAATAAATAAATAAATAAATAAAGCTTAGGAAAATAATTTTTCAGAAAACCAAGTTTGTGTTTCTAACAAACTGCAGGTGGTACCCATACTGCCTGTCCTGGGACCACACTTAGAGTAGCGGGATGGGGTAGTTTCTCCTCTCCAGGGACACTTTGGCAAAGGTAAGTGCCCGTTTGAGAAGTTTCAAACATTTAAAGCAGGGACCAGCAGGTGGCGTGGTGGTTAAGGCGCTGGATACTCCCACATGGCCGACCATGGCGTGAGTCCTGGATCTGGTGGCTTGCTTTCTGGCTCCCTCTCTCTCTCTCTCTCTCTCTCTCTCTCATCAAATTAAAAGATAAATGAATGAATAAATACAATTAAATAAACAATTCTTTTTTAAAAAATTAAAAACATTTAAAGCGAGGAATGCGGACTAACCAAATGTTGCTGTCTTCTTTATCGCAGGCGCTGGCCAACCTACAACGTTGTGACGTGGCTCTCAAGCTTCCAGACCACTCCCCGTTTCTTTCATGAGGGTGTCCCCAGGCAGTCACTTAACAAAATCCCAAGTTCAAATCCCAGCATTCACCTTATTTCTGAAAAACTCATCTACAAGGTGGTATCTGTTCTTTTGTAGCACGGTATTTGTGTTTTTCCGATTTTTTTTTTTTTTGGTTCTTGTTTTTGGTTGTTTTTTTCCTTCTTTTTCTTTTGCACAATATATACACAAGAATATCGAATTATCATGAGCACGAAGAGTTTCGAAAAGATGTTAGCATGGTCAAACAAGCATATGGTTTAAAACGTGTTGTTCTCTTCTTTAGGGATTAGCTAAATGATACAATAAACCTTTCGTTTTGTTTTGTTTTGTTTTGGTTTAGTTTTCCTAGGAATTAAATACTTTATGTTTACAGAATTGAGCTTCAGAAAGTTCAAGACATGCCAATTTGAGACACGTAATCTTCTAAGACAGGAACGTCAATTTTCACGCATTTCAGACACTAAACTGACTCTCAGCTCTAAACTTGTTTTTAATGCAGAGCCCCTAGTCTGATACAGAGTCTGTCACCCTGGAACATTTGTGTTTCTCCCCTTTTGAGGTAGAAGTTATACCAATAAATTATTGCACCGTTAGCAGTAGAGGCTGTGTACCTTGGAAGTTCGGTCAGGAATACAGGCGGGTCCATCCGTAGAGAATTCCGGATTGATTAGCCTTACACTCGGGGACATTGCCCAAGGCTTGGAAGAAACCAGGGAAGCATTTCAGTCTTCGTTTCCAAAATCATTACCAGGATCTGTGAGAAAGTTGAGTCTTCAAAAAAGTAGCCGATCAGTGAGGGCCTCTGTGGCCTGCTTCTCTCCAGGCCGTAAGTTAGGGGTCTTCAGTAAGACTTGATGTGGGACTTAGGGAGTAGGAGACCTGGAAATGACTCTACCGCGAGGTGACTCGCTGCTCACTCTTGCCTGCAAGCTGTCCTTGAGGGACTGAAACCCAGGTACCCCAAGGAAGGAGTTCAGTCCATCCAGTGATCAGCCACTGGTGTGCGACCCACGAGGACCCACAACTGTAGTTACGTCTCGCTCACCCTAACGGATGTGGCTCCTCTTTCTTCTACATCACCCTGTCTGCTCCCAAGGATTCTAGACCTTGCTCTAGGAGAAGTTTAGAAGGGACTCTGATGGAGAGTTGGCCTGCGTTCTGCCCTGTGAAATGAGTTTGAGCTGGCCAAGGAAAAAGGACCTAAGAACGCATTGCGATTTAGAGCTCCAGGTTGTTCTTACGACGGGGGGAAAGGGGGGCTATTTATTCTGCCTTAAATGGATGGCAAACAATGAAGAAGACATTTGGTGAATGTACCCAACGGATATACTCCTAGTAGGTTCATGTAGTCATCAAAAACAGATCGAGTAGATGTTTTTCCGTCACGTAAGCAATAATTCTTTTCTACGTCTTACTGCATATGGCTAGCGATTATTTATTTACACGCCAGACGGTTCTTGCATGCGAGGTCCATCAGAGTGCAGCGATGTTCTCAGCTACTGGAGGTATTTTGACCATTTTTGGCATTTGGATGAGCTGTTTCTTAGATCGAAATTTATACATCATTTCATTAAAAATTGTGCCTTAGACAATGCGAAGCAGTTGCACAGAGCAATGCATTACGGATGCAGTCCATGGAGGTGAGATGGCGTCACTTCCAAGTCCCCGAGACTTCTTCTCCTGGAGACGTGGCTCCCGTTTTACAGCTCGTGCAAGCACCCGTGGAAGTGATCGGAAAGAAAAAAAGACACAAACTCAAAAAAAAAAAAAAAAATAAAGAAAAAGAAAGAAAA